CTTGGCACATAGCACCTCCTGTAAGTCATAGAGATAATCCGCAAATATAAAACCTTCCTCACATAGAAGACACTTTACGACTGCTTCAAAGTTTACAGTCTATTGGAGCCCTTGTGTGATTTCTTCTTTTTTTTAAATTTGACCAACTTTCTGTGGTCGCAGCTTTAATGAAGCTGTTATTTCAGACACATTTCATGGCTTATTAAAACTTTCAAAGGAACATCATGTGCCCGAAGGCAAAGTAATTTTCAAAGCTACAGCAACTGGGATTGCAGTAAAAGTCCCGAAAAGGCCCAGCATACTTTGCTGTTTCCTAATTTTAGAATCCTAAAGGCCCTGGAAGCTTCTTGTTTTGAGTTTTCTGCCAGAGATCACATAGTTTTGACTGATCTAATCCGAAGATTTCAGTAAGATTTTGAAGGATTTCGGTACTGGCGTTTTTGATGGTTTTTCACTGGTTTGGCTGTGGCTGTGGTAACCAGAAGGTCGGGGGTTTGATACCTGGGTCCCTCTGTCCACATGCTGAAGTGTGATTGGACAAGATACCAAACGTCAAAGTTTCCCCTGACGGCTGTGCCGATAGTGTATAAATGGAAAAAATAGTAAAAGTGCAGCAAGTAAGAGTGCTACATAAATACAGTCAGTATATCTTTGGTAACTTGATACATATACCCATGGACCAATTAGGATTCAACTTTATTTCACTCAGAATCTTGTTGCTGTTGTAAACATATACTTCTGTTGCCAAGCTCTTGCCAATAAAATCTGATCCAACCATAATGACACAGTCTGGAACATAGACTGAATATAGACTGAAATAAGAACATGTTGGACCAACTCAAAAATGACTTCACTTGGTAACACATAGATTATTAAAATTTTAAAAAATTAAAACATTTATTTACACTATCAATTGAAATGATTCTTTTTAGTTGGTAGCCACTATTTTTTGTCAGTGTAAAAACGGATGCCGTGTCTCTACTTCCTCCCAATGTACAAACATGTTGCCAAAATATCTAGGGTACGGGGGCTGCCATCTTGGACTGATGACATAATGATGTTGGTCAGGTGCAGCCGTCGTTGATTTTTGTATCAATAAAATAAGTCATTTAAAACAAACTTACCAGAAAAAAATAACATTTGGACTTTTGTAATTGGCCAATGTCCCATCCCATCTACATAAGGCAGGTTTCTGACCTGTACTGCAACCAGCCACCAGGGGGCGATCAACACATTGTGTTTTCATTTTGTTAATCTCAATGTACAGTCTATGGTTTGTATTGAGAAGATTTCTTAACCTAAATCATATGTTAAGATGTTGATGGTCAGAATTCTTCAAGGAATTGTTGGAGAAGTTTCTTCTCAGTGTTGAAGGTTTAATTCAGACGCGAGAGAAGATGATTCTCAGCTGAGGCACTTTAATACAGAGCTGGTACGATATTCATTCTGAGCATCTGAAGAAATCAACACAGACAAACAAGTGTGCAGACTTTATTTAGCTCTGTGGGTTAAGACAAGCTATACATGAGACTTAGCTGATGAGGCATTCAACCACTCAAAGCAAATTACACTACAAGTCACAAACTACAAACCGTCCTCTTTAGTGGGCGACCCACACTATCTCCTAAGTCACTACTGACAAATATAGACTTATTTACTTCTTTAAGTGTAAATATAAAGCAAGAAAAGTGTTCAGCTTCTAAGAAAGAGCATTCTGAGGTATACATGTCGAGTGACCTTGACCTTTCTTGACATGTGACATGAAATCATCCTCCAGGGAGAACAACAGTCCATATGTAAATGAGCTTGAGAATAAATGTATGATTTTTAAACTATGGTCCCTGTTTTTTTGTTGTTGTTGTGGATTATCGAATTTTATGAACAAAATCTTGAAATATAAGCCCAAGATTTCTTTATATGTGGACGATTGGCCCTGATCGTTTGAGAGTTATTTCTGAATATAGAGATGTACTGAAATTTACATTTAAGGATGAATCGTGACATACAAAAATACCCCAAACAGTATAAAAGAGGTTTACAATGCTAGAATTAAACAACAGCCTCATAATCTCCTTTACATAAAGGATCAAACTTTGGAGTGAGGAACTTGAAGACATGAGGGTGGATTAAAGTTGCGTCTGGAATCCCACAGAAACAGGAGACGTTCTGGTTTCCACCAGGCTCAGCACATTTTCAAAGTCTTCAGTCTGCTTCAGTAACCATCATCAGTTAAGGCCTCGACACTGAGCATTTATAGGGGCGAAGTCCTGGAACGCCACAAATCCCAGTCAAACATTGATGGCAGAAATGTCAAGTCAAACGTTTCTCTATTTATAAATTGTGAATCAGTGCTGAACATGACACCCGATTGAGAGGCAGCAACACAGTTTAGTAATACAAGAAAAGAACATGTTGCTGCCAAGTTAATTTCTTCCTAAATGCCAGAAACACTTCAACTTGTTTCTGAGGTAAATTTGTCTCAATCTATTATTAATCTGGGAAGTCAACATCTGACTAGTCTCATGTTTTATTGGCAGATCGGTGAATGTCAGCACCTTAACTCCATTGACTCCACATTAAAGTCTACCTTTGTTCCAGGCGCTAACTGAGCATCTGCTGAGGTAAAACCCAGACACATATTATGGGAACTCACTCTGTTTGTAAATATCCGTCATTATTCTGTTTGCAGTGCATTTGTTATATCCAGGTCTGTGTGTGTTCTTCTCCAGTGCTGTTTACTTTCCTGACAGCATGACCTTGAAGGGTGTGTGCATAATGAGCAATGCCAGGTGTCACTAGGGTAACAAGTTCATTTACTACATAAACTGAGTGAGGACTATATTTAAGTTAGGAATATTTACATGAAACCAGCAGCCAAAGCAACCCAAATTTTGACAGTGCAACAAAAACACAGAATACAATTTTATTACTCTTAAATAATCTCACATTTTACTAAAAAAAATCTAACTAGTGCATATCGGGGGTAACACTTGTTTTATACATTTGATTATATAAAATAAGAGATTTTCCCAAAATTGGATCTGCTCCAATATAACAAAGTCTTTTTCCAGCTTTCTCCAGCATGACCATAAAGTTGCTGCGCTCACAGTAGAATGGCTAAAACAGATGCAGCAGAGGCCAATATCCTGACTTTAAGTCCCACAGGCTTTAACTCTAAACATAGTTGATCCTACACAACTCTCCAGCATCATACGACAGACCCTCCCTCCCTCCCTGCCTTATAAACTCCTCTCAAACTTCACAACTCCTGGTTCTCTGAGCTAAATGCTAACATCAGCATGCTGACAGTGACAACACTAACATGCAGATGCTATATCTTTGTTATCATGATCTTTATCTCGATCAGGGTTTCTTTACAAGGCTATAGAG